CATGGAAAAAGCTCTGGCCCCCTCCCCAGACTCCACTTCCCCATCCCAAATCTCACTGCAGCTGCTGGTGGCATGGAGACCTTGGGGACAGGGCAGGGGCATCAGGGGGGCACCTTTGCTCCATGTGCCCCCCCCCCCGGGCTGCCGCTGGGGGAGCAGGGGGCGATTAACTGGGTTAATAATTAACGCGGGGCCGTTAATGGGCGCGGGGCTGCCCCGGCCCGCGGGTGGTTTTGGTAGGAGCGCTCCACAGGCTGCAGTCCCGGGGGAATGCGGGATTCATGCTGCGGGGGGAAACCTGCGGCATCCCCAGGCTCTGCAAGGACGGAAAATCCCCCGAGAGCTGCGGCACCTTCACCCCTTGGGGGTTTGCTGCTCCCCTAGGCAGAGCCTCCGCTGGGAAAGGAGCCGAAAGGAGCCGAAAGGAGCCGCTGGATATTTATTTTCCCGGGCCAGCCCAGCACGAGCCCCGGCGCTCCCGCTGCGATGGAGAAGCCGCGCCGGGATCCAGGGCCCGCGGCCGCCCCGGCGAGCCCCGCTTGGAGCTCCGCGGAGCGGGGAAAGGATGGAGCGGGCTGCGCGCTGTCCCAGGGCTGTCCCCGCTTCAGCTCCGTCCCCTCCGAGGTCGGGATCGGCTCGGGAGTGCAGCGATGTCCCGGCAGCACGCCCCGGCTGCCGTGAGGACCATCAGGAGTCCCATCCTTGGGTATCTCGGGTTGTTGGTCCCTGCACGGCTGCACTATATAATGGAGAGAGTTGCTATAAATGGAGAGAGTTCCTTATCCTGGATCCGCATCCCCCCGTGCCTTGTCCTCTGTTCCTGACATCCAAAAACCCGAGCGTCACATTCCTGAGCAATGGCTCTGACCCGATCCGCACTGACTCAGCCAATGCAGCGTCACTGGTGTCCCTTGGGAACTTCCCTTCACGCAGACTTTTATGGATCAGCATCAGCTCCTGCCCATGGACGTCTTCCAGATGCTGGACTCGTTAATCACCACTTCCAGAGGCTCAGGCTCCAATCCAGCCCCGTCCAACTGGGCACAGCACAGTTTTCCTCCTGGCTTGATGAGGACAAGGAAACACCAGAGCCAGCATAACATTCCCTGGAAAAAGCATCCCAACTCCTGTGCAGGCTTGGGAGTTGGAGTGTTGTGAGTCCTTCCTGACACCTTTAGGAGCTGGAACAGAGGCTAGGTGGAGTTCAGAGGAATAAAGTGGGTATTTATTGAGGTGCCTTCAAAGGCCACACCTGGCAGGACTGGAGCCACAGTCGTGGCTCTGCCCAGATGGCTCCAAGATGGAAACAAGAGAGGGCTTGGCCATGAGATCTCCCATTTTTATAAATTTTAGTCCATTTGCATACAGGAGTTAACTGTCCAATTAACAGTTTCAAATTATGAAGTTTCCTCCTCCTTGCTTGCTTGCCCATCCTCCTCACATTGCTTATGCTTTGGGCCTGAAGAAGAGATTTGGAAGAGATTGTCCTTGAGTCTCCAGCTGGAATGGGATTGTTTTGTCTCCACCAACCTGTGAGAAGATGCCGGTAACAGTGAATATAAAGCTAAAAGCTGAACACCAAAACAGAACAGGAAAACTCAAAACCAAAGGTATCACTCCAACCCAGGATATTCCATAATAGATCCAAACATGTTTTTTTCCAGGATCTGAAGCACAGTGGTGAAGGACTTGGAGAGGACCAAGGTGGATTTCTCCTCCCCATGGGCCACAGCCTGAGGTCTCCAGAAGGAAAGTGAATTCCCAGCACAGCTTCCCGCTCGTGGCCATGGGATCTGCAGAGGTGGCCACAGCTGTTCCCCGAGATCCTGCTGAGGAAAATGCCCCTCTCAATGCTCATTTGGACTGGTGAACCACAGACATCCCATGCTCCCCGTGAAAGAGGGTTTGGAAAGTCTGGGGTGTGGATGCACCACCCCAAAGTGAGAGGGAGCTGTAGGGAGCATCACCCCACCATGATGTCAGCCAGGCCCTTCTTTCCCATAAACCCCCAACTTCAATAAAGGGGAAAACAGAGAAATTCCTGGATTTTCTGCTTTTTTGGTGTTCCCACTTTTTGCCCCAAATCTAAAGAGGAAAAGCAAGGAATAATCACACGGACACCAAGGGTTAGGAATTATTCTTTTTTTAATTTCACATGGTTTAAAATACGATATGAAATAAGGCTACAGTATATAAAAAACTCTCCAGCAAAATGATGTGCCAGCATCAGCAATTAAAACAAAACCAATCCCCTCCTTCTCTAGGAATTCAATGGAGGAGGGATTTTATTTCTTTTTTGAATCCTTTAAAAAAAAAACAAACGGAACCAGACACAACACACGGACACACACACACATCGCTACATCTCTAAGCTACCTCAGCTCAGGTTTTTTTAAAAAAGCACCTGCTTTTTCCTTGTTTTTTTTTTTTATTTTTTTTTAAATCTCGCTTTTAAACTTTTTTTTTCCCACTTTTAAAAAATATAAATTATATGAAAATACACGTTGGAAAATAGTCGAACAGCACAATATAACAATCTCTTTTTTTAACTTCTTCTAAGTTTATCAGCTTAAAAAAATGTGTAAAACCAAAATAAAACAAAAAAAGACTTCCTTATTTTTTTGTTGTTGTTTGTTTTTTTTTGGTTTTTTTTTTTTTTTTACTGAGGCAGTTAATTCCTGGAGATATTTCATTATAACATATATGTATACATAGATTTATCCTTTATTTAAACCTCTTTGGAATGTAGACAACAGCTCCTGGGTGTTACACAGACCCTACCAGGGAGCAGAGCACACCAAGGCATCCCAGTTTTCCAATGTTCACAAGGAACCAGCAATTGAATCCTAAAACCTCAGAGAAAACCCCTCCAAAAACTCAAAACTCAGAAGTGGAGATGTTTCCTGCAGCATCTGGATTTGCTGCTGCTTTCTGGGACCGTTTTTTGGAGGAGGTGTTGCTTTGGGAAGACAGGAGAAAGTGAAATTTTACATTACTTTTTATTTGTTGCCCTGTTTTTTCTCTCCCTGAATGATCCCATCTGGATGGGATGGTGGGAGTGTGGGAATGACAAGGATCTCCACTTGGACACACCCCAGAGTCCAAGGGTTATGGTGATCCCACACATGGAGATGGAGAGGGACTGGCAGCAGGAAAGTGCTCGTGGTTTTTGTCATTATTGGGGTGGTTTTATCATTATTGGGGTGGTTTTATCATTATTGGAGTTTTTCCCTTTGTTTTTGAGTTCCCAAATATCAACTATCAAGGCCCCCAGAACTGTTGCAAGCAGGGCTCAGGCTCTGCCACATGGGCCAAGGGAACACCAACCCACATGGAAACAGTAGAGAATGACCAGGACACAGAAAATATCCCAAAATCTCACCCAAAGCACCTGAGACGTTCCAAACCAAGACAAAATGACCCTGTTTCAACAGTGTCTGCAAGGGGGACATTCACTCCTGTGTGGAGGAAGCAGCACAGGAGGGAGTCCCAGCCCAGGCAGATCTCCATCATCCCTCTCAAATCCATCCTTTTGGGCCAGCAGATGGGAATTACCCAAATTTTCATGGACTAGAAGGAGCTCAGAGGGTTTGGGTTGAGCTCGTCTGGCTCAGCACAGCCCTCACCAAAGGCCAGCAATGAAAAGCAGAAGGAAAAAGGAACCAAAGCAAAAGAAACAAAGAGAAATCTGCACATTTCCAGTGTATAAACAGCACCCATCTCTGGGATGGCCTCTAGAACGGGAATAAAAGCAAAGGAAAATAGGAAATGATGGAGCTGATGTGTCTGGGACTGTTCACAGGCTGTGAGCTGGGAGGGCAAAGGGCTGGAGAAATGATGGGGAAACTCCAGCCAGAGGCTTCTTCCAAAAATCCAGACCTGCTTCCTCTGGCTCACCCTTCCTTACCTTCAACCATCTCCCCAAAATCACTGGGAACACACAGGCTCAGCTTGGAAACCTGGAATAAGCTCAGTGGGTGAGGGATTTAGCCTGGCAGGGGCGTGCGGTTGTAGCCAAACCTGCAATTCCTGCTATTAGAGGGAAATTTTATCCCATTCCTTTTCTTTTTCAGCTGGAGCATCCAAGCAAAGCAGGAGGGACGTCCTGGGGCACGGCCCACGCCAGGACTGGGATATCTGGGAGTCCCTTTCTAGGGGTGGAAGGAGGATTGAAGTGACCCATCATGTGCACGCTCAGGGCACTTTGCAGCAGCCCTGAACATCCCCAAAACCCCTCTGATTGCTGTTGGGATGCTCTCTGCCAGCTCCTCCCTGTGCACTCGGTGCCCTCACACCTCTCCCGGCTCCCTGTCCAACCGTGGCTCAGGCTGGATCTGTCCCACAGCCTCACCTCTGGGGGTCTCATCCATGATATCCCAATTTTCCTTTACTCCCTCCAGCTTGGCCAGGCTGCCTCCATCCTCCTCCTCCCTGCCTGCCCAAGGAGATGAGCCCGAGTTCCACTGCTCAGTGGGCAGCATCCCTTTCCTCCTTTGGGGTTCCTTTCACCTTCCTCCATCCCCTCTTCCTTCCTTTCCCTCCATCCCACCCTTTCCTTCGGACAACCCACAGCACCCAAATGTAACAACCTCCCTTCCTGGGCCCCCTCTGCTTCCACCCCCCGGCAGGAGCTCCCTCCTGGCCTTCCCATGTCCCTCCAACTCCATCTTTTGTGAGGACACAGCAATTCTGGGGCTGACTTTCCCTAAAATGCCCAGTTTTAGGATACAGAGGTGCTGGGTCCCACTGCTCCAGAGGCCAAGGAGAGCCCAGCACCTCTGGGCATCACTTTGGGGTTGGGCTCCCCTCCAGCTCTGCCCCTCTGTGGGGAGGGGGGGTTGTGGCTGAATATTCTGGGTATTTTACACAGATTCCTGTCCCACCACCCCATCCATTGGGATGGGGCAGGAATCACTCCTCAGCCCCTCTGGAAAGGCTCTGACCCCGACTCCCAGAGCTGTCCAGTGGGGCAGGAATCACTCCTCAGCCCCTCTGGAAAGGCTCTGACCCCTCTGGAATTCTGATTCCCTCTGGAATGAACTCTGTGCCCCCAGACACTCAGAGAAGGGATTTTGGTAAAGTACAAAATGCTGCCTTTAAATGCAAACACCCGGGGGGGTGAAAGACTCCCTTGGGAGGCCAAATCTGCAGGGACCTGGCTTTGGGATTGTGCTGGCATACAGCAACAGCCTCTGACACTGCAAGTCCCACCATTGCCCCCAGGGTGGTGGGACCTTGTCCTCAGCCTGCCCAGAGCATCCCAGGGAGCACGGGGAACAGCAGGAGTGACCCTTCCAGAGCAAACCAGCTGCAGGAAGGGTTTGGAGGCCAGAGGGAGCAGCTGCCCTGGGCCTGATCCCACAGCCAGCCCTGGGGACACTGTGCCACTCTCACCCTGACAGCAGCAGCCCAAGAGCCATGAAGAGCCCATTTCAGGGACAATTTCCTTTCTGCTGTGCCCACACATGGCCATAAATACAGAGCTGCTTGAAACAGGAAGGAAAAAGCATTTCCCTTTGGGTTTTGAACTTTTTCCTGATTTTTCCCCTCAATTGACTTGCATATTTTCCATTTACCACATTGAAACATGGGAATTTCTCTCCTTAGCCCCTCCCAAAAAATAAAAAATTCTGTAAGCACCAAAGTGTTCCTTGAGCAAAATAAGTGATTTGGAAAATGCCAAAAGACATTTTCCTTGGAAATTTTGAGAGGATTTGTGCAGCCAAACATTAAAAAAGCGCAGGGATTTCAACCAGCATTATCAGCACAGAGTGTGGGGCTGGAAACAGGAGTGGCACCCCCAGCCAGCATCAACAGGAGCCACCTTGGAGTTCATTTTCCTTCCCATCCCAGTCCCAGCATTCCAATTCTCCAGTGGGGTCTACATAAACTAATTCCTCTTTTTCTCTTTTTCTTCCCTGGGATAAAACTCTCTGCTGGCAGAACAGAAACAAACACGCACAATATTGCAATACTGAGACCATCTTAGAGCTTAAGACTATTTAGGAAAAAAAAAAAAAACAAATACTGGCACAAAATTTAATAAAATAAAACTTTAAAAAAAAAAAAAAGTCTTGATCCCTCCTAGGAAAAATTCTTTCTTGTAGAAAAGAAGACAATCAACAGAAAGGTGATGGAAGAAGAACAACAGTTCTTGGTCTTTTCCTATATTGCCCCTCCCCAAAGCAAGAATATTCACCCATTTTGGTTTTCCAAAAGAAAAAAAGTTTAAAATTCCTCAAATCCTCAGGAATATTGTCATTCCTGACCTGTCAGTTTGTGTGTGAGTGACCAAAGGGATTCATTTCATCGCATTTTTTTTCTAAACAGCCAAGGGTGAGGAGGGGATTGTTGTTTTTTTAAAGTGAGCTACATTTTCCTGGCTTTCTCAAAACTCAGAATCTTCCCCCAGAAAAGCCTGTCTTGGAACTTTCAGGAAATCAACAAAAAGCCCATCCTTGCCCAAAGTTTTCCTCTTCCTCCCCCCTCTCCCCCAACATCCTCAAAGCCTAGAATCTGAGCGGCCCTCGGAAAAAAAAACGAGCAAAAGAACAGCGAAAATCAATAAAAAAAGAACCACCAAACGAGTCCCGTGGGCTCCCCCGGAGGACAGCGCCGTCCCCGCGTCCCTGTCACTCGTCGGCGTCGGGTTTGACGTCGAGCATGGCGTGCAGCTCCTCGGGGGTGTAGCCCAGCAGGCTCTGCAGGTCGCACACGAAGCGGTACACGTAGCGCTTCCCGGCCGTCTTGTGGATGATGTTCTTGTCGTAGTAATAGCGCAGCCCGCGGCTCAGCTTCTCGTAGTTCATCTTGGGCTTGTTTTTCCTCTTGCCCCATCGCCGGGCCACCTGCAGGCAGCGGGGATGGGGAGGAAAGGTCAGCCTGGCTCGGTTGCTACGTCTGTGTGGATGTTCCCTTCTTAGCAGGAAGGGGGAGGATTTTCACAGAATTCACAGAATTCCTCATCACTAAGAACTGATGCTTGGGAAAAGCAACCTCTGTGCAATGGCAGAACATGGCAGAGCATCCCATGAGGATTCATCTGGATAATTTCGTGTGCTGTCTCAGATATATCCTCATATCCCAAGTCTTTCACCCCTTTCCCAAGGTTCCTCCTCCACCTTCTGCCAGTTCTAAACCAGATGACACCAACATGCAATGGCCCAGTGCCAGCCACTTCTGCTCTTTGACAGGCTCTAGTCACTCATGGAATTATTTAGGTTGGAAAAGCCCTCTAAGATCATGGAGTCCAACCATTCCCAGCACTGATCCACATCCCCAAATGCCACATCCACAGAGCTTTTAAATCCCTCCAGGGTGGACAGCCCTTTCCATGAAGAAATGTTCCCTAATATCCAACCTGAACCTCCCCCAGTGCAACTTGAGGCCACTTCCTCTTGTTCTGTCACTGGTACTTGGCAGAAGAGACCAACCCCCACCTTCCAGTCAGGGGAGGGGACAAAGATCCCACCTGCTTGCCAAAGCAGGGGACAGTCACCCCTCACCTGTACCCAGCCTATCTGAAGAGCTTTGCCACTGCTCCTCTTCCTAAGGTGTTCCAGCTACTTCCCACCAACTTTGGGCACGAACCCCAGCTTCCAAAGGGTGACCGCATACAAATTTTCAACAAACTTTCAGTTGGACTCTGATTCCTTGGTTCCCCACAACATTCCCAAGACCAGAACAAAGTGGCTGCCCAAAGGGAGGAGGAGAGGGTTATCCACACTGATATTTCTGAGGAATTTGTGTTGTGCACTTAATTCCAGAGCACTTTACCTCGTCTGGGTCTGAAAGTTTGAATTCCCAGCCATCGCCCGTCCAGCTGATGAAGGATTGACAGGACTTGTCAGTGAGCAGTTCCAGCAGGAATTGCCACAGTTGAATGGGTCCACTGCCTAAAAAGACAAAGGAAACATGAGATATTAATGCCAGGAAAAGCACAGTTTTTTCTATCACAGAGGGAGGGAAATTCCCGTCCAAGAGGTGCTCACTGAGTAAAATAAAGCCTTCTCCTGTCAAAAAGAGCCACCAGCAGCCACAGGGCAGGAGCTGAGCTGGGAGTTAAACCCTACAGGTAACAGCTTCCTATTTGCAGGAAGAGCTGAATATTCATGCCCTGGAATGCTTCACATGGAGTTACATAAATAGGATTATTTTTCTGGCACACAAACAGGAGGAGTCACTGCCTTGGCACCGCAGCAGTGCCAATCCCTCTGTGCCAAAGAGCCGCCGGCCACGGCTGAACTCCGGCAGACTCCGCTCCCCGACCGTGACTCTTTGCTCTGTGCTGCTGATTGAGATAAGGGGGACCCAGCTACGAGAATTCCATGGCCTCTTTCCAAGGCGTGTTGCTGCAGGAATGGGCTCTGCGGGCTCATGGGGAGGGCGGGGGCACACAGAGCTCCCCAGCCCAGGATCTCCTCATTGGCACAGCCTCAGCAAATCCACACGGAACCTCCCTGCGGCTGCTGCTTCTCTGGCCCAGCTGGACGGGTACGAGGTGATGCGGAGCATCCCATGCCATGGGCATTCCATGCCATGGGCATTCCACCTCTCCTTCCACACCTCGTCTCCATCTCCCCTCCAATCTCTCACTTGGGCCATCACAAATTTGTCCCCAGTGAGAGTGCCCCCAGTGAGAGCCTGCAGTGGGGTTTGGCTGGAGTCACGGAGAAGTTTTGAAATATTTGTCTCTCCCTTGGGCTTGTGTCCCAATCCAAGGTAGAGGAGAAGCCCTGGAGCTAAAATATCTTTGAAGAGCAACTTCCAAATGTGACCACACCCCAAGTATTGCACTTAGCTGTGGGTAAGGTGTTTTGGGAGAAACCCCGCCATCGTTTAAACCCAGCTTGAAATAGATCATTAATAATGACAATAATTATAACGACACAGCCAGAGGAGAGAGGAAATTATTTATCCCACAGGGAGTTGCACAGGCTGGATTTGCTGGGGTAATCCCAGTGCTGACAGCACTGAGCAATGTTTCAAGCAGGGAAAAAAGTTATGGGCCCAAAAAAAGGGATGGAGCCCAGCCTGTTTCCAGGAATGACAATGGATGCTGTCTGAGCTGTGGCTGTGGGATAACCCATGGAGGGAAGGGAGAGCTGCTCCCCTTCTCCACAAAGTTTAAAATTACTCCAAAGCTGCTGGGGAGGAGGAAATGAGAGAGCTGGCTCCAGGACACGGGAATGGCCGTGTCCCATCCAGCCCTTCCCAAATGGATTCCCTCCTGTTATCCCTGTGGAAGCACTCCAGGGCTTTGTCAGCACCAGGCCTGGGGGTTATCACAGCCCCAGGCAGGGCAGGGCAGGGCAGGGAGCTCCCGGCTCATCCCGCTGGAAAGGGGAAGGGACTCGGCGGGGAAAGGCTCCAGCCCGCCGCTCCTCTGAGCTTGCCAAGATGTTGACTCCACAGCCACGCTCTCCAGCAGGGATGGAGCGGGATTATCCACTCCAAAATGAGGGAGGAAATTCAGATGACGCCTTTGCCTCTTGTTGAAAGGGAGGAGTGAAAAGCCTGGCCTGAAGTGCCACCACATCTCCAGGCTCAGGCCTATTTATAGCAGTGAGCTCTAAACGCAGAGAAAACACTGGGAAAAAGGTTTAGTGGCTGCCTGAGGTCTTCCACAGGTGAATTCCTAAGGGAATGAGTTCTCTTGGCCCATCTGGCCTTACACCAACTCCCCACACACAGCCAGGAAGCATCCAACACCCAAATTGAGTTAACAGAGACACAGCCCCAAGTGTCCAAGGCCAGGTCCATCCCCTCCCTTTGATTTCTCTCCTGCCCAGCTGAAGAATAAGGATTTTTAGTTGATTCCTTCCCCAAAATAAGAGGGATGGAAACTCATCAGCTGGGTGCCGGGTTCTTGGGTGAGGAGCTGCCCTCAAAACAGCCCTGGGCCATCCTGGCCCTGCAGGATCTTTGGAGGTTCCAGCCTCACTAATCCTGAGCCAATGGCTGGTGCCATTCCTGTTTGGTTGCCAGCTGGCAGGAAGAGGTGCTGGCAAACCCAGGAATTCTTGCCCTCTCCGTAGCAAGCAAGGTAGGGCTCCTGCCACCGCCCCCAGTGCCACCCTGCTGGGTATTTTGGGATTTCCAAGGAAGTGGTGTCATCCTTGGAACAGGGATTCCCAATGTCTATTATGAGCTGCCTGTAGGACACGCGTAAAACCCCAAATTCCTCTCACTGGACAGGCAATTATGTGAGGAATGTGTTTGTGCAGGGCTCCAGGCATGTCCCAGCTCCTGTAAACACCCCCTCCCTGCCCGAGGGGGAGGCAGTCGAGCCTGGCAGATGTGGCACCGCTCCGAGATGGCAGCGAGGTGGCAGGAGCCAAACCCCAGCACATGCCCAGGCCTGTGCCCCAAATCAGTGCCTGCAGGGAGGAGAACAGAGCAGGGAGCAGTGCTGGAGGTCAGGGCATCATCTGCTGCAGCTGTAATTAGTGCTGGGAGGGGGAGCTCCACAAATGAGCCACTCTGCAGCCAGCAAGGAGCAGGGAATATCCTCCCACAGGATTTCAAGGTGGCTCATGCAGCAATGCCACTCCCCTCAATGTCACAGGGCAAGTAGGAAGCTCCCAGGTTTGTCCCTGCACCCAAACCTCCTCACCCACAGGAGCTGGGAGCAGCGCCCATTTTCCATCCCTTGTGCTCCAACCCTTCCCCTCACCCCAGCCAGGGCTGGAAATCCCCATCAGGATGCCAGGTTGGGATCACTCCACACAGCCAGGCTGTCCCAAGGCCAGCGGGTGCCTCCCACCAGGGGATCTGCTGCCTTGGTTATCCCAAAACAACCATGTTTTCCCACAGCCTGGATTGGGCTGCAGCTCCAAGCGTGAGGTGGAGGGGCACAAGGCAGCTTTTATGGCATTGCTCCCTCCACACACATCATGGGGCTTCCCAGAGCAGACCCAGCCCGGGCTGGGGAGGAGGGGCAGCCCCTGCTCCACAAAAGACAAGGGGAGGACTCAGAGGGGTGGGGGTGTCCTCCCACCCCACCACGACCTCCTGCACCCATGGGGCTGCTAAAAATAGCACCCACAATGGGGGCCCTGTCTGGCCTTGGTGGCACTGAACAGGGTCCTTCAGCAGGGACTGTCACACCACAGGAATTCTGCGGCGTCAGGGGGAAAATATTCCTCTGGGCCGGGTGTCAGTCGGAACGGTGGGGACTGGGAGCTGCTGCCCGAGCGGGGCTTCCTCAGCACCAAACCCTGATGGTGTCCCCAGAGCGAAGGGTTTGGTGCCACGCCATCCCTGTGCCATCCCTCCTTGGTCAGGACAAGTCCCCCACCTCCTTCCCAGCCACGGGGACACCAAACTCTGCCGGGTGGGGCCGTTCCAGTGGCACAGTGTCCGTGGCACCACCCGGCTTGTGCAGATGGGCACCGCACAGGGAGGGCACAGCCCCAGCCCTGTCTTCTCTCTCGGGACGGTTTTACACATCCACCCCTCCCAACGGCCTCTGTTTTGTTTCCCTTGGTTCAAACAAGACAAGAAGACAAAAAAACCCCACCTACCAACCCCCAGTGAGGCACCTTTGCCTGGTGCTCTGCGGTTTGTGGTTCCAACCTCACAAAACAATCTGCCCTGGCAACAGCTCCAAAACAGCCCCTGCCCCACTCCCTGCCAGCCTGCCCACTCCCCTGGATGGCACCAGGGTCCCCAGATCCCCCAAAGTGTCGGGAGTGCTGGTCCCCATCACTCCCTTGTCAGAACAGTTCTCACAACTCCTGCCCAGCTCCTGCCCAGGCTGGTGCAGGCATCAGGCACTGCCACGTGGTGGAGCTTGGATGGAGCATCTCCAAAGAACAGGTGTGAAAAAACAGGAAAGGACCCAGGAAGCCCTTCCTCCTTCCTTAGGGAGCAACATGGCCATGACTGCAGGCAGGAGAGCAGCCAGGGGGCCAGTCCAGGTCAGAGCTGCTTCCCTGCTGCAGCTCCTCTGCTCTCAGGAAGAGTGTTGGGAGGACTGATCTCATAGAATCTCACAAGTGGGAAGCAACTCACACAGATCAACTCCAGCTCCTGGCCCTCCATGGGACAACCCCAAGGGTCCCACCCTGTGCCTGAGAGCATTGTCCCTGAACTCGAGGCTGACTCCAGGGGCACCTGGCAGAGCTCCAGGGGCTTTGTGAGCTCCACATCCCCCTGACAATGGTCCTGCAGGCCATGAGCTGCTGAGCACAGCAGCTGGGTGTGTGCAGGAGACCCAGGCAGAGCTGCTGCCCCCATCACCCCCGGGCTGGAGGAGCCCTGGGGAGAGCTGAGCTCTGCCACGCTTGGGCAGCGGCGCATGGGGCTGGGTTTGCTCTCGTTTGCACGTCTGGCAGGTGGGGCAGGAGCCACTGAACCGGCCCTGGTGCCACCCTGGAGTCCCCACCCTGGGGAGCCCAGAAGGGCACTGAGCCCATTGGGCCCTGCCTGAGGCAAAAGTGGGCAGGAGCTGCTGGGTGGCCACCCTGAAGTCACCTGTGAGGACAAGTGAAGGACATGAGCCAGGAGGGGCAGGGTGACACCATCCCCTGCATCCCAGCAGGGCCAGAGGAGCTGTTGTGCTGCTGGGCACAGGAAGGGGGTGCCTGCATTCCCCAGCTCCTGTGCCCTGGCTGCAGATGCCCACATGGACTTTGCTCCAGCCGTGCAGGCAGGGAAGGTGCTGGAATCCAGGGAGGCTGCAGCACAGGCTGGGGAAGGGAAGTGTGGCAGGAAAGGGGACAGGAAGGCAGCTGCTGGCAGATTTTTGGGTGCTGATGGCCACAGCACCGGGTGGGATCTCGCCTGTGGAGGCTCCAGAGCAGCACAGCACCAGGGGGAGGGGCAGCAGCACCTGAGCTGTCCTGAAAGAGACCCACTTTCCTTGGCACCGCCTCGACTTTCTTGCAAAACAGCAGCTGTGCTTTCACTGCTGGCTCACAGATAAGCATCGCTCACAAACAGCCTGGGGAGGCTCCGGGCTCTGCAGCACAGCAGCTCACACACTGCACGGGGCTCAGGCACATCTGGGCCCCACGGCACAGCCCTGGGGGTGCTGACAGCCCGGCTCAGCGAGGTCTGGCCTGGGCAGGTCCAGCTCAGGGGAGAGAGTGCTGGGGTGGGATAACATCTGTGAAGGAGGCTGTTCCTGCAGGGCCTCCTGAACTCCTGCTGCCCAGCAGGATAACAGGGATGCTCTGGGAGGGACACTCAGGGCATGGGTGACATCAGCTGGAAGGAGCATTAACTCTTTAACTGCTGGGACTGGCTTTAAGGGATCAGCACCTCCCTAAGCAGGCCCAGAGCAGAGGACAGGCAGCAGCAGCCATACAACCCCAGCCTACATCTGTGGGATCAGGGCTCGGTGTGCACTCACCTCATCTCTCCCATCCCTCTCCCCTCCCCTTAGGAACACGAGGGATGGCCCTGCTGGGTGCTCAGTGACGTGGAGCACCAGTTCTGGGCCATGGCAGCACTGACACTGCGCATGGAAAGCCCAGGGTGTCAGTCCTGCCCACCACAGAGCAAACAAACCCCATAGCTTGGCTGCCAAACCACACAGCTGCTCGAGGGAACCCAAAACCAGCTCAGTGCCGAAGCAAAGGCAAAGCACCAGGGTCTGAGCCTCCTGTGGCCCTGCAGCACCAGGGGAGCAGCAGCACGGACTGCAAACACCAGCACGGGGCACAAAGATCCAGCTGAGTTTATCCACCCGGTGCCAGGGCTCCTGCAGGATGCTGGTGGCCACGGGAATCACCAGAGGCTGCAGGAACCAGCACGGGCACAGCCCCAGGGCATGTGCAGGCAGAGCTGAGCTCGCTTTAGCCCAGCTGGGCTCAAGCACTGATCTCTGCCCACCCACACCAAACATGCCTCTGCTGCTGAACCACAGAGCTTAGACTGAGCTCAGCTGAGCCAGCGTGAGGTTTAGCAGTGAACACACATCCTGAGCCATCCCTCACCTGGATTTCATGGATGCACTCTGTGTCATGGCAAAGACAGTAAAATCTGGATTAATGTAGAATCTCAGAATCACAGGATCTGCTGAGCTGAGAGGGACCACCAGGATCATTAAGTCCAGCCCTGCCCAGACCCCCAGCAACCCCACCCTGGGCATCCCTGGCAGCGCTGCCCAAAAACTCCTGGAGCTCTGGCAGCCTCGGGGCCGTGCCCATTCCCTGGGGAGCCTGGGCAGTGCCAGCACCCTCTGGGGGGAGAACCTTTCCTGATCTCCAGCCTGCCCTGCCCTGACCCAGCTCCAGCCATGCCCTCAGGTAAAATTCAAGCTGTCCAAGCTCCAAACCCAGGTGTGGAGGGCTGGCCCTCCCTGCAGAGATGGAAACTAAAATTCATCAACTCCTGAGCAATTACATTTCTCCTTCAAAAAAAGATAAGAAAATTGCATCAACCTCTCTGTGAGCAACCATGGCAACTTGTTAAAATAGGTCAAGATGTGGGGGCAGATAAGGCAGCTCTGAAAGGCCGCTGGAGCTGGGTGAAGAACACATCAAACGCAAACGGAGCTTCCGCCAGAATGCACCTTCTCAGCGCCTCTGGGGCAGATACCATCAGAGACCTGCTGGGGCCACCTCCCTGGGCACCACAGAAACTGCTAACAGAACCTGAACAAGATTGTCAGGTCCTTAAAGTCAGGACAGAAAGCTCTGGTGTCCCTCTTCACCCTGCCAGGTCCAGCAGGGCCAGCACGAGGAGGGGGCTGGGGGCTGGGTGTGCCCTCGGGTGGGAAATGGAACCCCAAAATCTCGGTGTTTTGGGCTCCTGGGCTGGCAGAGCACTGCTCTGCTCCTTGGGAGGCTCCACCTCCTCAGCAGAGCCACAAGCAGAGCCCAGACTCGGAGTTCCTCTGCTCTGGCTGCCAGACAGCACTTCCTCCCCTGAGTAAAGTAAGAGTAAAGCACAGCATTGCGCAAAGAGGCCTGAGCCCTGCCCGAGTCCCCACTATGAGCTGCCCCCGTGTCCCCACTCTGAGCCCTGTCTGAGTCCCCACCCTGAGCCCTGCCTGTGTCCCCACTCTGAGCCCTGAGTCCCCACTCTGAGCCCTGCCCGAGTCCCCACTCTGAGCCCTGCCCAAGTCCCCACTCTGAGCTGCCCCTGAGTCCCCACCCTGAGCTCATCTGGCCCAGACCAGACCTCCAGCCCTTCTCAGGGCAGCCTGAGTGGGGTTTTCCTCACTGACACAGACCCAGAGAGTGGGGAGCGCCCACTTCTCCTCCAGTGTGAAACCCAACATGTTCTGCTTGCTCTCCCCAGGCCCTGCTGTCACAGTGACCCAGCTCTGGCTCCCTTTGCTTGGAAAATGCAGAGCTGCAGGTCTGGGGGCTTTAAAATGGCTCAGAGGGCATCTCTGGAGTCACTGCCTGCCAGGATCACCCATCCAGGGCCCTTTCCCAATGGCAAAAGCTGTCTCTGCTGGCTTGAGCCCTGAATATTGCTCAGCAGCCTTTGGAGCAGGAAAACAGAGCTCCAGCCTGAGCATTTCCCAGTGATTCCAGATTTTCCTCTCCACATTTAAAGCCTATCAAGTGAAGCAATGCAAAAATAAATAAAGAAATCAGGTGTTCCCACTTATTGATCCCACCAAAATGCCTGGGCCAAGGGATTCTCTTCCCAGCTCCAAGAGGGGCTGGAAATGAGGTGAGGGAAAATGTTACACAGAGGAAAGTGTTTGGAATTGTGCTCTGGCACTGCATGAACCCAAGTCTCCCCTTCCCGAAGGCACAGCTCCAAGAACAGCCTTTGGGGTGCTAATATTCCTTGGAAAAACACAGGGCCCAGCCACTGACTTCAGCTCCTTGCCTCTCTCCAGGGGTGGCTCTTCTGCACTCTTTTCCATGAGCAACACCAAACGTGGAGGGAAATATCCAGCTTGGAAAAGATTGCTCCTGATTTTGCCAGCACCTTGGTGCCTCGGTTTCCCCAGCTGTTCAAACTCATCCTGGGCTCCTGCATACCCAAAGCACTTCCAGTGCCACAGGGAAAGGCATTGCCAGGAGAAAATAGGAATAAAAATGGGAATAAAAATGGGAATAAAAAGAGCAACTTGTACTGAGTGGTCTCTTTTCTCAGGAACATCGATCTCCATGGCACAGCAGAGAATGAGCTCCAGGGCACAGTCCCTCCTGGCCCTCCCCAGCACACCCCAAGCCCCAGTCCATTCAGGAATGCAGAGCACACTCATATTTGGCATGGACTTGGTAGAGTCTCATTCAGCAGGCAGGGCTGAGCTCTCTTCCTAACTAAAGCCATAGCAACAAACCACTTCCTTTTTTAGACTCCTAAAATTATCTGCCCACCTTTCCTCCCCCCTGCACCTCTCCCACCCTCACAAAGGCTCGGTGTCAGCCCCGGAGGAGCCGTGCGTGGGAGGGCACTCGGGGACAGTCGCGCCTCAGGATCTGCTCTGAACCTGGGCACGATCTTTATCAGCACAAACTCTTTCCACCAGCTGCTCCCAGCTGGGGCAGGACAGATCTGAAGGTGCAGAGCCAGGGGAACTGGCAGGAGGGTTTCCTCAGAGCACAGGGAAAAGCCATGGCACAGAAGGGCTGGAAAGGATTAGCTCAGCTTTAGCTGGAAGTCCCATCCCACCAAGTTTCTCTCCTTGGAGATGCCAGATTGCTGAAGGGCTGTCATAAAGTGCAAGAGTTTCCATGGCCTATCACCTTCCCATCTCTCCCAGCGCAGGGAATGGAAAATGTTTGGGATGGCTCTGGCAGGGCCCCATCCCTGCCTCACACCAAGGTACAGCGGGGCCTCCTCTGCGCCAGAGGGAGAGGATCCATCCCCACACACAGAGCAGTGCTGGAGCTGAACCTGCTCCTGCCCCAGGGGGAGAGCACAACCAGGAGCCCACCAGTCACCAGCACAGGGCTGGAGGCTCTGCAGCACCTCCTGTGCAGGAGCCAAACCAGCCCCAGCTCCTCCACAGCTGGCCAGGGGCAAAGGGAGAAAAGGCATTGAGTGCCCCGTGCCCAGCCAGGTGCCACATCCCCCATGAGCTGTGGGATGTGTGGGATGCCCATGCTTGAAGGAGATGCAGCCCTGGGCTGACCCCAGCCACCCAAAAACCCTCCCTCACACCCCTGCACCAGCCACCCCGAGCTGGGGCAGCCCGGAGTGCCCCGAGACTCTGCCCCTGGGCACGGGGAGGTGCTGGGGGGCACAGAGGGGTTCCCAGGACCGTGCCCTACCTGTGTAGCCAGCCAGGGCAGCAGCAGGGATGACAGGCTTGTCCTTGTTCATGTCGGCCCGGTCCCGCACATAGTCCTTGAAGGTGCCCTTGGGCTTGTGGCTGGGCAGGGTGGCAGGGTAGTCCTCGGAGTCGAAGCTGTCGTAGGAGGGGACGCGCTGCAGGCTCTGGAAGGAGGACTGGCTGCTCCAGGACTGCGTCAGGCGGTCACAGCTGTCGTAGCTCTCTATGCTCTCAAAGGAGTCCTGGCCTCCCAGCTTACCTGGGGGAGGCACAGCAGGTGAGACAGGCCTGGCCAGCACAGAGTGCTTCCCCTGGCCAGCACAGAGTGCTTCACCTGGCCAGCACAGGGCACTTCACCTGGACAGCACAGAGTGCTTCCCCTGGCCGGCACAGGGCACTTCCCCTGGCCAGCACAGAGTGCCTCACCTGGCCAGCACAGAGTGCCTCACCTGGCCAGCACAGAGTGCCTCACCTGGCCAGCACAGAGTGCTTCCCCTGGCCAGCACAGGGTGCCTCACCTGGCCAGCACAGAGTGTTTCACCTGTGCACTGTGCAGGCACAGGGCAATTGATGCCGTTCCTTTACATCCCATCTCCAAAGTAAGCACAGCCCAGAGCTGCAATATTTTTACCTTTGCCATCCAGAGCAGGGCTGAGCCCTGGAAAACTTCAGGCAGAAGAGCAAGGCAGAGAGAGACAGGGGAAAAACCCAAATCTGGCCTCTCTACCCAAGACTGGCGCCTGGGCCTGACTGGAAATGGTCCCTCATTTCCAAAGGCAATTTCAGAGACAAAATTCACTTTAGATACTCAAGGCTGAGCTCAGGAGCCTAAACATGGGCACTCCAGGACCTCTTCATTCAGAGGGTGAGGCCCTGGCACAGGGTGCCCAGAGCAGCTGTGGCTGCCCCAGCCCTGGCAGTGCCCAAGGCCAGGCTGGACAGCCTTGGAACAACCTGGGACAGTGGAAGGTGTCCCTGCTCAGGAGAGAGGTGGAACAAACTTTAAGGTCCCTCCCAAGTCAAACCTCTCCATGATTCTCTGATTTCTATGATTCTCTTGCTGCTGAAGGATATTGGAGGTCTCCAATAAATCCCCACTACGTCTGCCAGCCCTATTCAAACACTGCTCAGGCACACCCAGCTCCTTGAATTTGGATGTTTCTACACAGCAGCCTTTTGCTGCCATCTGTTCCAGCCAGCCCCAAATCCCCAGCCAGCAGCAGGTTTGCTGGAGGAGGAGAGCCAATGGCTGAGAGCTCCAACAGCTTTTTCCAGCTCTGGTAAGGTGAGCACAGCTGGTTTGTGTCAAAGTCACTCTCTGGGGTATTTTTAGTCAAAGCCAGAACATGAGAGGCCAGATCCTCAGCAGTGCTGATTTACACCCCCCAGAGCCAGCCCTGTACTGAAACAGAGCTAAAAAAGGCCCCAAAGAACAAACTGAAATTGCAGCCTCTGATCTCCCTACTCTACTGATTGCTCAACCTCTTTCCTGACAGGCTAACAGGATCATTCAAGTTCACTAATTTCCCAAACCCAGCTAAAAACAGCTGCTGGGATTGTGCAAGAGCTCCTGGAGAAATTTCCATTGGCAGAGCTACCCACAGCCTGGGCCCAGAGAGCAAATCCCAGGGGACAGGGAACGTGGAAGGGCGCTGGCACACGCCCCCAAATATTTGTTGTGTTGTAGTTTGAAGAGCACTTGCTGTGAAAAGATTCAACTACTGCAGGGCCTGCCCTGATTGCTGGCCTGGAGTCACTGGGAGCTGGGATCCATTGGCTTCATTCTGCTGGGACAGCCCTGCTCCAAACTCTTTTCTATTTTCTTTTTGTTTTTTGAGGATTTTCACACTCCAATCCTTCCCTGAATCCAGATGAGGAGAACACAACACTGCTGTGTGTGTACATTAATTGGCATAACCAATTCCCTGAGCAATCCTGCAGCACAGGCTCATTTAGAAAAGGAATTAAAATCTGACAGAGATGTGATTTGTGTCAATCCATTGAAAATTCACCTAAATTCCACCTAGCTGGAACAATCACGACCTGCACTTACTCAGGACAAGCTTAAATGAGTTTGACAGCTCCACTCCCCAACCAGCCGCCCTCGCTGACAGGGCAGAGAGAAACAACTCCCATGGGACCCCAAAATTTCCTCCTCAAGGCCCCACAGAAGGCCTGGAAAAGGGCCCACAGTGTCTGGAAAACCTTCACCCTGAGGTGATGCTGAAGGGCTTGACTTTGTGTCAGACTAGCCTTGTAAGACAGTGCAAGGTAAAGAGGGACATAAATATAAATTAACTGGGCTCTGCTTTATATTAAGGCTTTCCCCCAGCCCTGGGAGGATTTGTGTCCCCCAAAGGCCCTTCCATGGCTGAAATGCAGCCCTGGTGTGAGCACAGCCTCTTGCAATCAGCGTTCAAGTCTTTGCTAACAGCAGCAGCCAGGGCTCTCTGTTCCCTCCCCTGAAACCATTTTTAGGTTTGCCACTGAGAACAGGCTCGAGGTAGAGTTGCAAAAGCCTTCCTGAACCATTGCACTGTGAGAATGATGAAATCACCTGTATTAAAGAAAAGGTCAAGAAAAGGCAAAGACAGTGCTGAAATTTAGGCAGAAAAACAACCCCAAAAAGAGAAGTTTCCCCAAAATTAAAACCCTGCTGCCCTTCTGGCTCAGGTCACCTTTCTCAGAAGGAGAGGCAAGAGCACGAATAACAACTTCCCTCTAATTAGCTCCCCCAGCCTGGAAAAAGAGTGTGGAAGTTCAAATGAGCTGCACGTGCCATGCAGGCTGGAAAGCAGCTCTGGCTTTCCTGGGAAGGCAGCTCATCCTCAGCTCTCTGCATAAATGGGTTTAGCTGCTGCACATCAAACCTGGCTCACAGCACCACGTCACTGTAACGAATTCTGGGGCTGAGGACGCCTAGATTCCATTTTGGGGGATGGCAGGCAGGTCACATCTCTTCCCTGTGCCCCAGGTTCCCTACCTGGAATCTGGAGATAATGATCCCAGTTGTGAGGGACTTTGAGCTCGATGGATTCAACTTTTTGCTTTGAACGGAGGCAGAGCCACATCCCCAGCCTGGCATCACTGATGTGATCACAAAGCAATCAGACATGTGGGCCTCACGTGTTCCCAGTCTCACAATATTAATTGGGAAGGTATTTGGGCTCAGATCCTCCAAAGTGTTCAGGTGTTTAAATCCCACCACCTCAAACACAAATCATGTACCTGTAACTCTTTGAGGAGCAGCATTTGTGGGGTCCTTAGCTCTGCTGCTGCCTCAGCCCCTGACATCTGCACCTCATAACCAAGCTCAGGAATTGGCTACAGCAGAGTATTTCAAACAAGCAGCCATCAAATAATGGACAAAGACTTCAGATCACAGAGTGCAAAACTCTTCGGAGCCTTCAGCAGCAATTCCTGATGAGAACTTGTGAAGAATTTGTGGGGATTTGCCTGGGCTCCTAAAAATGGGATTTCTTCAAGCACCCAGCAGTTTGTCCTCCCTGATAACATGAAAGCTCAGTTCAATTTCACTCAGGCATGACATCAAAGCACAGCACCAGAAAAATGCCCTTCTGCAGAGGATGTAAAAACAGGCAGCAGAGGAGAGCAAAGAAAGACCTTCCTCAAGTTTTCCCTAGAGAGAAGGGCAGGGAGGGCTTAGAGCCACCAGGGAAGCCAGCATTTTTGGGAGAGATGTGTCAGTACAGCACAGCTCCCTCGGTGCTCCCAGAGCCATTCCCTCGGGAGGAAACGTGAGAACAGCAGGAATCCAAGCCAGTCCCTGTCGGACAATTCCCTTTCCTGGAAGTTTCATCGTTCTATTTCTCCAAAGTATCCAGTCTTATTTACAAAGCCATCCTTTAGAACTCTTTTTCTAACTCCATTTCTCTCTCAACAACATCTGTCCTCTTCCATGGCATTTCTAACTCAGCATTTCTTATCTCCCAGCTTACATACACACACATACCGTATAAACCTCCTGTTAAACCCTAAAAACTCTCTCCACATTCATTTCCCGCAGGGTTTAAGCCCGGCTTTACCTCGGCTGGCACGGCCCATGCACATGTTGTCTGGAGTCACCACCTCCTGCTTGATGGAGAAGTAGTCGGTCTGCAGCGCGTCCGGGGCCGGCTCGCGCAGCAGCACCGCGGGGTAGTCGCTCTCGTACTTGAGGGACAGCAGCTCCTCCGAGCTGATGGGGTGCAGCGTCTGGTAGGACTCGGTGATGAAGCTGGGCTCGGAGAACTCGGAGGGGGGCACGCACTGGGCGTGCTCGATGCCGTAACCTGGGGGCACAGCGGGAGTCAGACCCCGCCCGAACCAGCCCCAAGTACCCAGAGCATCCCACACCCCTCCCTCAGGCACTGCTTTGGGCAAGGGCTCCAGAAGCTACAGAGATGGGGTCTGAAAATGCAGCAATTTAGCAAAGTAAGACACCCCAGACCATCCTCGATGTGCTTTGCACCAAACCCCTCCCAGGGCAGCTGCCAGAAGGAAAAAGCTGGAAAAACCTGGGGAGTGGAGTCTCAGCAGAGGAGCAAAAGGGTAAAAATGTTTCATTGCTGGTTGGGAAAGGTGAGTCCTTGCACAGCCACCTCTCGCCAGTGCCAGAGCCTGGAATCCCACAATCTCAGGTTTTGGATTGGAAGGGAACTTAAAGCTCATCCAATCCCACCCCTGCCATGGCAGGGACCCCTTCCACTATCCCAGGCTGCTCCAAGCCCTGTCCAACCTGGCCTGGGACATTTCCAGGGATGGAGAGTCCACAAACTCTCTGGGCACCCTGTGCCAGGGCCTTCCCACCCTCACAGTGAAGGATTTCTCTCTCACACCTCATTTAAATCTCTCCTTTTCAGGTCAGTTAGGCTTTTTGCTGGTTCATGAAATATCTCCCAGATTTCCAATGCCCTTAAAGAACATCTCCAAAGCAATGGCAAGGGCAGGAGTGCAGGTAGAGACTCCTCCCTTTGCTTGCTAGGCTTCTCCCTGGCAGTCCAGAATTCAGCCTTTCCCCCCATTCCCCCCCTTTTTTAACAGGCTTTTTACAATTCCCAGTATTCAGGTGTGCTGAGGCTGCTTTCAAAGTCGGCTGAGTTACAGCTTCAAACAAATAGCTTGAAGAACTCAGATGCTGGCACACAAGGCAGCCACCAAAAAGTCCAGGAGGCTTCCAAATGAACCCCAAACCCTTGGAAACACAAGATCCCCCTCTGCAGGGTGCACTCCTGTTGTGGTGTGGACAAACCTCTGCTCTAAGGTGCTTCCAGGCATGGCAATGGTGATAATTGACACTGCTAATTGAGACTTACTAATGAAGTAGTCTGAGGTGTAGCGGGACTCGGGGTAAGTGGTGCTCACTCCGTTTGCTGGGTACGGTTTCACCTCTTCTGCAGAGAGGAAAGGAAGGAAATGTCACCAGTGGAAGGCACACGGAGCTGTGCAACACTTGTTGTGCCACAGAGAGCCCTGAACTTCCCAAAATCTCCCCAGGTCAAACTGAGCAACAGAAATTAATCCAGAGCTGAAATCCCACAGGAACCTGGGCCACGTGGGGTCCTTTGGGAATTCCTGCCACAGGTATGGCCAAGCTTAAACCCAACCCCAACAGCAACAACATTCTCAGCCAGAGCTCCAGGAGGCTCTGAGCTCCCAGCTGCAGCATTTCCCTGCTTGCCTCAGGCTGTTGCCTCTCCTTCTCCTGGGGGTTGCTGACCACACTTCCATGTATGAGCTCCTGGAAAACCTCCCCACACAAGGACAGTTGTTCTCCTGGAAAAGCCCTATTTTTAGACCAGCAGTAGGTGGGTACGAGGGAGTTGGTGACCCATCCCAAAGCCAGCTCCTCTAACCCCAAATCTGTGAATTCCCAGCCTGTGCAGCACCTGATACAGGCAGAACATTCCATGTTCCAAACTGCTTTGTCTCACTGTCCCTGACCCCACTCCTGACACAGACTCCTCCATGTATATATGGTCAAAATGGCAAATTTCAGCTTTCCTCAGGCATAACTCACTGGGACAGAGCATGGAGCACATCAAGGCATAGATTCCCTGCTTCCTGTGCCTTTTTCCAAGCACCTTGCTCCTCCTGAGCTTTTCCAAGCACTTTGCTCCTCCTGGCCTGCGCTGAATTTGCCTTCCCATGTAACAGCCACCCTGCCCCTACCCTGAGCAGTTTTTCCCTGAACACCTGACTCAATCCAGCATGGCATGCTGAGCAGGGATAGAGGGATGGGGGTTTTCTTTCCTTTAACCAAAGCAAGGCCCCCTGGCAGCCCTGGCTGGGTTTGTTTCTGCCCTGGCTCTGGAGAAGCCGAGCACAGATAACGCACGTTCGCCTGTGAGGAGCCTAAATTTGGCCCTCTCCCCTGGGGACTGCAGGCTGGAAAATATTCCCTAACAAAAGGAGGGGTTGTGCAAACACAGAGGACTAATGAGAAATGCTCTGTTCCTCTCTCCACAGCGTCTGCCAAGGGGCAGGGGGTGACCACAGAGCAGGAGAGAACCTTCGGCTGTGCTTAGAGTCAAGTGCAGGGCACTGCTGACTGCTGGTAACTGAGGAGGTTATTTTAGGAAGAATTATGGAAAAGTGAGCCTGAAAATACCCAAATCCATGCAGGGAAAAGGCACCCATGTGCTGTTTTTAAATCCTGAGCAGCCTGTGGTACGTGAGTCACGCAGTGCTCACAGGGGACAGGGTCAGCTCAGGGGACAGCAGGGTCACAGCCTGTCCCAGCACGACCCTGGGCCAGCAGCACAGGTACAGCCAGGCATTTTGGGGCTAAGAACCACTCCCAGCACCAACAACCCCAGTGATGATGGTGGGGAAGATGGAGAGACAAGTTGGAGCCCTGGCTGAGCCTGGAGACACCTGGATCTCTTCCCACGTCACATCCAGGCGCAGAGGGAGAGCCCCAGCTCCTCCTGTGTGGAAAGGGACGTGGCAGGGACAGGGACAGGGACAGCTCTGTTCTGTCTGAACAGCTCCAGCCCAGCTCTGGTCGGGGCTGGAGATGAGCCCCAGCACTTACAGGGAACAGAAACCAGTTCTGGGGGGAGACTGGTTATTTCTTGGGGGCTCTCTGTCACTCCCCAGACACCTCACTGGAAATGTGTTCAGAGCCCACCAGAGGAGCAAGGGCCCTGCTTGCACAAGAGTGACAAAGTCATCAATGAAACCAAACAGGCAACAGAGATTTCTGGCTTCCCAGGGCAACACCAAGAGTGTGAAGACACAGAAATTCAGCTTTATTCATTTTCAGCCTTTCAGAAGAAGAGTTGCAGCAGGCATAAAGATTTTCAGCTTCTTTGAAAAACTCCTCCCTATCCCAGGCCTTTGTAGCACCAATTCAGTGTCTGAATACCCACATGTGTCAGTGCTGTCTAAAATTATGATTCCCCTCTGCCATAAATTTACAGCATCAATTCCATCTCCATGTGTGGGGAAACTGCAGGAAGGAGGTGCAAACCCAGCCCTGGTGCCTCAGTCAGTACCTGAAGCACATCCCACCCTATCCAGTGGGCACAGCCCAAAAAATCACAGAATTACAGAATCCTAGAAGGGCTGGGTTGGAAAGGACCTTGAAGACTTCCCAACCATGGGCAGGGACAGCAGGGAAGAAGGGCTATGGGAAGGTGCAAGCAATGGCTCAATGCAAGGAGAAATTGGGCTGACCACAAGGTTTGGCTTTGTTTGGTTAAACTGCTCGGTGTTGATCCAAGCACTCCATGAAAAATATGCAAAACAAAAGGGACAGACCAGATTTAGAGCCCAAGAGCAGGAAAACAGCCTGGCCTGCCCAGAGCCCGGGAAGGGCCATGTTTACCTTCTGCAAACCACAGGTAGCAGTAAAATTAGTAATGGGCAATTAACATCCATTTGTCAATGGTTTCCTGGAAGGAATAACTATGCTCCCCCTCCCCTTCCTGCCACCAGGGTCAGTAGGACAGCACAGGGGACATTCCAGGAAAGCAAACAGCTCTGCAGAGAAGGGAGCTGGGAAAAGAGCCCAGGTGTGCTGCAGCTCCTGCTTGTGGCTCAGGTAGAGGTGCTCAGCTCCTCACCTGCTCCTTAGAAACCATCCCAGTGCTCTTGGGCATCCAGACATGGAAAATCAACACCCTAAATTAAAGTGCGTGCCCCCAGTCACTGAAACTTAATGCCCTTGGGTGCTGTCATGCAGGGAATGGCACAGATGGCTTCTCCTCCCAGAAATGCTGGTTTTGGGGACATGGAACACCCTTTTTTGGGACATGGAACAAAGCAAAGCAGCTTCCAATTGCCACTGGGAAATTCGGCTAGGATTTTGGCTGTATTCCTGTACCCAGTTCCAGTGAAGGAAATAGTAAAATTCACAACAGGAGCTGAACAGGCTGAGGAAAAATGCTTTGGAAAATCCCACCATGGATTCCAGGCAGTCACAGTGTCCCTGCCCACTGGGGATCCCTGCCAAGCAGCCGGCACAAACACTCTGCCTCTTTGAGGCCCTGCCAGGATTCGCCTTGCCCGCTGCCGTGGGATGCCCATTTGGAATCCTGCTGAAAAGCTGGGCTTTGGAAGATGTTTTTCCTTGGATTAAAGCTCATGGTGAACACCTCCTGGTCTCTGGAAAGCCCCAGAACATGGCTAGCAGGGATGCTGTGAATTGTTCACCTGGGACACCCCAGGACTGACCTTTCTGCAGGATCTCCAGATGTTCCCAAAGGATATCTCCCACAAAGTCAGGCGCCAGCTCCAGGAAGCACTCCTTGCCCAGGGCACAGAGGGCAGCTCCATTCATGCAGAACTTCTGGAAATCCACTTCCTTCAGGCTGAACTCGTTCACTGCCCACATCACCCAGTCCCGCACGTGCGTCTCCGTCCACTGCTGGGGGTCTGCAGAGGGATCCAGCCGTCAGCACCCCAGGAAAACAGGACACAGACAGTGCTGCAGCTGCCCTGCACTAGCACAGCCTCATCCCTGGAGACTGGCAGCCCACTGGCATCAGGGTGTGAGGAACACCATGCCCAGCCTGGATCAGCCTTAATGCAGACACGTTTCATCCAAGGAACAAGCTTTGGATTTGTTCGGGATTTCTAAAAATCCCATCACTTCTCTGACCCCCTTCTCCCACCCATTTCTCCAATTTTCTTGGTTTCTCCCTGTCACCAGCCTCTGGTAAAGGGTTTCTGCTGCTTCTTTCTTTAGTGGAGATGACTTGTCCACATTTTTCCAGCTGAAGCTTCCAAGAAGCTTCAGGTGGTATTTGAAAGGCAACATCACCTGAGGAGAACCAGCAGAGGAGATGGCAGACAGGGAATTCTGGGCAGCTTGGAAGGAGGACACAACCCCTGTGGGCACTGTGGTCATTCACAGGAAGCCAAGTCTTACCTTTGGGAATTCCCAGCCGCTGCTGCTCCTTGGCAAAGCCGCTGAACGTGGCTTTCAGTGCCTGGGACATCATTTCTTTGCTGCTGGGCGTTAATAAAGGCACATCTGCACATTCCATGTCTGAAAGAAGCAAGAGAGGAACACAGCCATGAGGACACGGGGCTGGGAAAGATGTCAGGGAATGCTAGCCAGGTGCACATGGTGTCCCTAAGCTTCTGGAATGTGCTACTGGATGATGATATCAAGGCCCTTCCAGACAGTCTGCTGGGCTTCAGCATTCCAGGTGTGTCTGGAGCCTGGGAAATGGCTCAGCAGCTCCAGGCACCGAGGAAGGTACAGTCCCACACCAGGATCCGCAAGAAAGAGGGAAAAAAACATCCCTGAATTACCACTCTGTCATCCCAGCACAAAGAAAAGCAAGGAGAAAATTAAAGAATTCTAGAAAATTCTTTATCCTAGGAAATTCTTCCCTGTGGGAACGCGGAGGCCCTGGCACAGGTTGCCCAGAGAAGCTGTGGCTGCCTCTTCCAAGGGTCCAAGGCCAGGTTGGAACAACCTGGGATAGTGGAAGGTGTCTCTGCCCAAGGTAGGATGTGGAATGGGATGGGCTTTGAGGTCCCCTCCATCCCAAACCATGCCAGGATTCTAAGAGTCCATGAAAAAGTGAGCTGACAGCGGGCTGAGACAGGATGGAAGAGTGGCAGAATACCCATTTGAGGGGGGAAGGGAAACAAAGGGCTGGAAAATCCCACATTAGCCCAGAGTTACGTCAGGCACATCCATAGCACGGAGCCAGGGTGAGTCATGGCCAACACCAGCCATCCCATGGGACAGCGGGGCCAAGCCAAGAGCCAGGCCTGGAGTCAGTCCTGACAAGGACCAAACCTCTTCCTTTCCTTTTTTAAATCCCTTTTTCTAATTTATTTGGAAGCTTTGTAGCCAAAGAGTCTCACAAATAAAAGCAACCATTTGAGGCAAAATATCTGAATAGAGGTTTGGCTCTTTTTCCTGTACTTTCAGTATTCCTGAAAAACATCTTTGATGGAGAAGGAAAGTCTTGAACAACCACCACCCCAAAAACTGCCCTTGGTCAGCAGAGATGGAAATCTTCCACCTGAGGTTGGTTTAGCTCTGCAGCCTAGTGGAAATTTTCCATGAAAACTCAGTGGAAAAATTAGACCACGGGCAAAGTCTTTGGTGTTCTCACAGACACTGAAAATCAAAGAATTCTGTGTCTTGTGGAAACTCAACCACCACAGTTTCCATTGCTTCAAGTTCGTTAAACTCCTGATTTAATAAACCTTTACACCTGCAAAATGCTGCTGAGGGCCTGTTCCAGGCAGTGCTGGTGTATTCCTGATAAAACACAGTGTCAGGGATGGAAGCAGCCACTGGGAAGCGCCAGCCCAGCTACCCAGTCTGGAATTCCTGCTCCACTCAACTCCTCCCCAACCAAATTCATGGCCATCATTTAAAGGCCAAACAACCCAACACTGGGTTTTTTCCAAGTGGGAATCTGAGGGTTGGGTCAACAGAATTCCAGGGCAGTGGTGGAGTCATCACCCCTGGAAATGTTTAAAAAACCTGTGGATGTGGCTCTTGGGGACATGGGTTGGTGGTGACCTGGCAGTGCTGGGCAGTGGATGGACCCCATGATCTTAGAAGGCTTTTCCAACCTAAACAATCCTGTTTTTCCACAGATAAACCTCCACATGCAGCTCTGTAGCACAGGGTGAGGGGGACAATGCTGCAAAGCATCCCCAGATCATCTGCTGGATGCTCCTGACACAATTCCACTGCCAGGCCAAACCCAGCAACCACTCTGTCCCCACTTCTGCACCTTCCACCTCTCAGCCCCAGTACAAAAATTCCCCCTTCCCTTTGCACGTCCTCCAGCCAAGTCCCCAAGGCTCTCAAGAAATGATTTGCAGACTCTTGGCTCAGGTAGAAGCAGTGAAATTCCCAACACAGAGTCATTCAGGACACAATTCCTGCCCTCAGCCCAGCACACAAATCCAGGATTGCCTCCACAGTGGCAGGATCAGGACCTTTGAAAGCAAATCCCACATCCAAAGGCTATTTGGCAAATTACACTTCATTATTTACTGATTTGGCTGGAGAGGGCATGGAAAATGAGCAGCCACCATCGCTATCTCTGTTCCCCATCTGCTGCTTGAGATAACACTGGGAGAAAGTGGCTCGGTGCCCCTTTCCCTTCATCCTCAAGTTACATTTGAATGCTCTGCTCTCCCTGCTCTGTGGTCACAGGGACCACCCAGGAATCTGCTCCCTCCGCCTGCCTCAACAGCAGCTCCTGCCTGCCCTGGGAAGATGAGTCAGGGCCAGGCTGAGAAAACGGTTCTAACCCCAATTTTAACACTGAATCACCATGAAAACCTGTGTGGAGGTGAGCTCCTCAGGCCAGACACCAAGAGCAGGGTGAAAAACGGTATTTTTATCTCTGCAACAGCAAGGGCCCATCCCTGATCCTGCTCTTTGGTCATGCAGGATCCATGGGTTGGCTTTGCACAAGCCCAGCAAATCAATTTTTCAGTAGCGGGAGGATAAGATTTCGGTTTAGGAAGGTGAATGCTGAGCTCTGCACAAACAACCTGTCAAAACAGGGGAGACTTAAAAGTGATTCCCAGGGAGAGGTCACAGGGAAGCAAACAATCTGTTCCCAAATAAAAAAAAAACCATGCCAGAGGACGGTTTCTATTTAAACACCCAAATCAACCCAAATGTGCATTTCAAGGCTTCTGCAAAATCTGTTGTGCTCAGCAGATTTAGGACTAAAACATCATCTGCATTTTTCCTGCGAGGTCGCAGCCACTTGTTTGAATTTCTGCTGAGGACAGAGCAGCCCCAAAGCCCTGAGCCTGCAGAAGCCTTGGCTGGGTCAGCAGTGCCCCAGAGCTGGGGAAAACTCACCCAGGGAAACCAAACGTGTGTGAAGCTCTGCAGACATGTCTGGGGACAAGGCTTGGCTGGGTGGCTCCAGAAAGATGGGGTGGATGGACAGTTTTTACCCTAAATTCTTGTGCTGCTGCTTTGGGTGTACTGAATTTATTTAAATAATTCAGTATTTATTTTAAAACTGGGTGGTTTATGTGCAGGGAGCATGGTGGGCTTCACCCAGCTCTGTGCAGGGCCAGGACTCGGACTTAGTGATCCCTGTAAATCCCTGCCAACCTGGAATATCCTGTAACTCTATGAACTTTGCTGGTGCAGGGAAATTCCTTCCCGTGGAGGCAAACCCAGCCCTGGCAATGTCCTCCAGCCCTTCGCCTCCAGTCTGGCATGCCTAAAGGTCAGAGTTGAGCAGAATTTCAGGAAGAAAAGCAACAAGCCTGGCTTAGCTGCCCCGGTATCAGCTTTCAGTGCCATCTGAAACCTGTTTGCAAGATTTTAATCAAACCTTGCACCAATAAAACCTCTCCTTTAGTGCTGCCCATGGAGCACAGGGCTGCGTGCAGGGCTGGGGCAGAAGCCAGCAGCAGGCCCAGCTGTTCTACCTAAACCCAGTTTAGGAATGCTGAGGCTTTAATCCCAAAAGCAAGCTCAGCAGCAGGGGCCAGGCTGGGATTTCTGGCTGGTTTTTACGAGCCCATCAAAGCCCCCTGACACGGCTGCCACGTGCACCCGGCTGTGGGGATGCCATGTCCTCGTCCTGTGCCGACAGAGCCGCCTTTGATTTCCCTCCTGGGAGAGCAGGCAGGGAGCTATGGTTGGATTTTTAAACAGTGCCAGGAGTTGCAGTCGCCCTGGAGAGTTATGTCAGCAGCATCTGCAGAGCAGAGATGCAGGATTTGCCTCGCATGGGGACAGCTTTTATCTGGCTGCAGCTTTCCAAGGCAAAGAGGGATCTGGAGGCTCCGTGGCTTCTCCAAACCAGGCCCCTTCAGCTCCCTGACAGCCCTGGGGATGGGACTCAGAGACACAAGAGGATAAACCACCCTGACAATGCCCTGGATGGATTCTGTGCTAACGGGGACCTGCCCAGACCCCCCAGCCAGGGGCATGTGGAGCCTGAGAGAAAACCAGGAGCAAAGCGGCCAAGATCACCAAATTCATCTCCCAGCCACATTCCCACTCTGCTCCCACCAGGCCCTGCATGTGTAAACTATTTCCACACATCTGATCTTTTTAAAGGACTCAGATTTACAAACTTTAGGGATTTTGACCTTCAAATGCAGAGAACTCCTCTGCACGCCAAAGCCATTTAATGCAGCTGATTGCAGAAGGAAAATAAATGGCACACAGGGCAAAAAAAGGATGGTCAGAACAGAAGGATGGGAGCAAAGTCATTTTTCAGCAGAGTTTCCACTCGGGGTCAGTGACCCCTCCAAGCTCCCCTCGGCCACTCACTTTTTTTTCCATCACAGCCCCAGTGTGTCCCTGGGTGGGGTTTCACCCAGTAGCTGCTGGAAATGGATGTGGGGAGGGTCAGAGCAGAGACACCTGACCCCAACAGCACCTCCTGTCCCTGCCTGGATGGATGGATGGATGGATGGATGGATGGATGGATGGATGGATGGATGATGGATGGATGGATGGATGGATGGATGGATGGATGGATGGACGGACACCAAGGGCAGGACCCTGAGGCCTCCTCAGCCTCCCCTTCCCAGGCCTGGAGCACATGGATGCCATGGAGATCCCAGGCCCTTGTGTGGCTTGGCAGAGGCATGGGGACAAGGGCGAAAGGCGTGAAAATTAAACAGGGTAGATTTAGATTTAGATTTAGATTTAGATTTAGATTTAGATTTAGATTAGACTTAGACTTAGATTTAGATTTAAACTACATTTTAGGAGGTAATTCCTCCCTGTGAGGGTGGGCAGGCCCTGGCACAGGGTGCCCAGAGCAGCTGTGGCTGCCCCTGGATCCCTGGCAGTGCCCAAGGCCAGGCTGGACAGGGCTTGGAGCAGCCTGGGACAGTGGAAGGTGTCCCTGCCATGGCAGGGTGTGGAATGAGATGGCCTTTAGGGTCTCTTCCAAGCCAAACCATTCCAGGATTCCATGATTAAATTAGGGGGGAAGATGCACATTGTTTTCAAACAAGATCATTTGCAGAGACTGTGCATCCAAGAGCTCCATGAATTCATGCCTGTGTCCCTCA